ATTAGATGGCCTCTTGGCAGGTAGGCAGAAAAAAGAAGGCCGAGGTAGGTTAATGTATTTTTCATGTAAAAATATAAGATGTCTAGCCTCTGCTTCTTCTCCCATTCTAAGACAAAGACTTGCTGAGCTTTTTTTCTGTTGGTGAGATCTGTTCTGTGAGACATTCAAACCTCCCACAGGGATAGGGACTGAACCAAACAATTTTCTTTTCTTTGTCGAGATTATCCAGTCCCTTGTAGTGGTTCAAACCAGCCAATTCTGGAGGAAAAAAGGAACTCATCCCACCCCCAAACATAAACAAATAAATACAAATACAAATAAGTTTAATCTCTGTCAAACCAATTCTGATACCATCTCTGTGGCTGTGCCTCACTGGGAGTCTGGCTCTTAGTGCTCTTGGCTATGCATGTCTGCTTTCTATAAAACTTGGCTGGGTGTTAAGAGCTTGATTTTCCTGACTTTTGATTCTTTGACTTAGTGGAGAAAAGGAATCTCTCCCTAAATCCCCGGAGGAGTTCAGCACATGGAGTCAGAGTATATCAAAAGCAATTTGTTATATTCAGTTGCCTCAATTTACCCCCACAGTGAAAATGGCAATGAAAGTTTGTTGCTCCCTTTAACAGAGGTATTTCTACATATACATCATTGGTATGTGCCTCGTGAAAACATGTCTAAAGTAAGATCCCCCAAAAATTAAAGAATAAAAATGAAAAACAATTGGAGGCTAAGATTCTGTTTTTTCAGAATGAATCTAGAAGGGCTAAAGACATGTCTCAGAGTCTATAAACTGTTTTCTGGCAAATCAGAGTTCAGTTGCCACTCTGACTAATAACTACCTGTATACCTCCAGCTTGAGGGGATCCAAACTCTCTTCTGGCCCCTATGGTCACATCAATTAATACACACACACACACACACACACACACACACACACACACTACACACACATACACACAATTAAAAATTAAAAATTTTTAAAAGAAAGAATATAGCGACTAACTGAAGTGAAAATATTATGAAATGACTTACTTGCATCTATTCTAGAGTTAAGGAAATGAAGCACAAATGGATATGCTGCACTTCGGCAAAAGTCTGGTAAAAGTTTCCTGGTTCCCAAATCCATATTCCTTCTCTTTGTTTATATCCTCATTTGCTGTACAGAGTACTTTGTATATAGCTGTCGTAAAAACTACGATAAATGCTTTATGTGACGGAATACAAACATACACAACTTAGTTCTGAAGTCTTCCTTTTGACTACTCAGAAAACATCCTTACGATTGCACTTTGATTTAAAATTTTAGCAGTCCAATTTTCATTGACATCTTTGTTTTTTTTCTTTGTAATTGTTTTTGTATAAAACTAATGTTTTTCATTATTATGACCACTTAAATACTTTATATCATCTGTATGTCATGTCTTGCTCATATAGCTGCATCTTTTAATGAGTTACTTTTATAAACCATAGTTCTCTATAGGAAATTTAAAAAGTATCAATTTGCATTGCTGATTTAGTATTAATTAATATTATGAGGCGATAGTTTTAGACATAATAGAGTACTAATATGAGTGTGTTAATGATGATAGGGGCTAAGGGAGTACCCTTAGTTGACAATAAAAACTAACTAGCCTCCTACTGCAGTTCCGCAATGAGCTGGAATGATAGGCTTATGTCAATTCAAGTGGACAATCAAAATTAACTACCCACAATATAAAAGAAAAATGGACCCTCATCTTTTATGCAAGAATCAATGTAAAATGAATTAAAAACTTAAGGATATTATCTATAACTATAAAAGTACCATAAGAAAACACAGGGGTAAAATTCCCTGCAGTGTTCTGGGCAGAGATTTCCTTCATCTGGCCTTAAAATCAAAGCACCAGAAGCAAGGCAGGCATATAGGATTGGGTACGACAGAAAAGTTCCCCACTCTAGAGGAAAGAGTAACCCAGATGGGACTCTGGTGTCCCATCAGACTCCATAAGCCCATCCACTCCACTGGGATGTCTTCTAGAAAATGTAAAACCCCTTCATTTAATGCCACATGTTAAGGCATCCAGACTCACTTACCTCAGTACTAAGAAATGGCCTAGATGCCCCTTAGATAACAAGTCTCATTGGCTACCTGATGGTTTCCTGAACCCAGATACTATATGGGAGCTTTCTAATTACTGCCAGCGGACGGGTAGATGGAAGGAGTTTTCTTACGTCCAAGCTTTCCTCTCTATCTGTCTGCCTAACATTCTCTTTCCTCTTCATGTCACATTCTTCTAGCCATGGTCGATGGAAGGAGTTACCATACGTCCAAGCTTTCCTCTACCTATCTGCTGAACATTCTCTTTCCTCTTCATCTCACATGCTTCTAGCTGTGAACTGAGGAAAACTCCACTAACTTAGACCCTCTGACGAACCTCCACTGATTCGTTCCCAACCTTCAACTATACCTTCTGATTCTTTTCCTCCTACGCCCCCTCCCCCACTTCACCCTTTTCAGCTTCTACCCCTCCAGCTTCCTCCTCTCCAGCACCAGGTGGCTCCAACGGCCCATCTCTGGCACCCACTTTCAACACCCCCCCCTTCTGTCACCTACTCTTGAGCTGCTATAGGCTCTCAACCTGCCAAAGCCGACCCAGCTACAGTTCTCCCCTTGCAAGAAGTGGCCTGGGTGGATGGCCTGGTTAAGGTCCACGTCCCTTTGTCATTATCAGAACTTTCTCAGATACAACAGAGATTAGGGTCTTATACTGCTCACTCCACTGCTTTCATAAGGGAGTTCCAGTATATTACCCAATCTTATAGTCTCACTTTTCATGATATATTCATGATTTTAACCAATAACCTACTACCTGAGGAACACAGGGGAGTTTGGGAACAGGCAAGGGCTTATGCAGACAAGTCCATAAAACCAATGCAGCTCACCCTACCAGAGGCTGTTCCAGATCAGGAACCCCATTGGGACTATAATGCCTCAGGGATAATTTTGGCTAGAGATTAGCTTACAACCTATATAAGGCTGCCCTAAAACCAATAAACTCCAAAAAGCTTCTAGATGTAATTCAGAACAAAAAGGAAATTTCCTCTCAATTCCTAGAATGCCTTACACAAGCCTTCCTACAGTACACTAACCTAGACCCTGAGGGGACAGAGGGAAAACAACTCCTTATGACATATTTCCTCTACCACCCTCTCAGGTAGACCCCAAAGTCTGGAACACCCAAAACCCTTCTGTGGCTAGTCACCATTTCCCCATTGTCATTCAGTTACAGGACCTCTTGAGGTATATCATTCAAGTCCAGTACCCACTCCCACTCCAGAGCCTTAGGGAACTTAAACCTATTAACTCTGACCTCTTAAGGAAAAAGTTACTTTGTCCTACATCCTCTCCCTTTAACACCCCTATATTGGCAGTTTAAAAAAAACCTAATGGGACCTATTGCCTGGTTCAAGATCTCTGGCTCATTAACTCTGCAATGGTCCCCCTCCATCCTGTGGTACTTAATCCTTACACGCTCCTCTCCACTATCCCCCCAGGGACCTCTCATTTCTCAGTTTTGGATCTTAGGGCTGCCTTTTTCTCTATACCTCTAGACATTCAGTCTCAAGATATCTTTGCTTTCACCTGGACTGACCCTGACCTGAGCTCACCTGGACCATCCTACCTCAGGGCTTCCGGGACAGCCCACACTTAATTTGGCCAGGCTCTGGCTTCTGACCTGCTCTCTCTGTCTCTCCCCAAATCTAAGCTCATACAGTACGTGGATGATATTTTACTTTAAAGCCCGTCCTTAGAAGTTAGCTAGACTGACACCTCCACTTTTCTAAATTTCCTGTCCAGAAGGGGTTATAATAGAGTCTCACCTTCCAAGGTCCAACTGTCCACTGCTCAGGTCACCTACTTGGGACTAACCATTACGCTGTCTATTACCTTAGACAGAAAGAACCTAACCCAGTTTCTTGCAGTTCCTTCTACTAAAGAGGAAATTTTATCATTTCCAGGAATACCTGGCTTTCTACGCTCCTGGATCCCCTCTTGCTGTCTCCTTACTCATCCCCTATATGAGGCAGCTCTTGGCTCTCCACGTGGACCCCTCCTTAACCTTGTGGCTAAGCCCTTTCAGAAACTCACACAGGCTCTTCTCCAGGCCTCAGCCCTTCATCTCCCAGACATAACTCATCCTTTCTCCCCCTACATAGCAGAAAAGGAGGGACATGTCCTTGGAGTTCTAGGTCACCAGCTAGGAACTTCCTTTGCACTGTAGTATATCTGTCGAAGAAACTAGACCTAACTACCCAAGGGTGGGCACCCTGCATACGCGCTTTAGCAGCTGCTGAGGTCTTCATTCTTGAGTCAAAGAAACTAACTGCCTTCTCCCACCACAACCTGTCTCATCTCCTAACTTACAGAGGCTGACACACTCTACCTCCTTCCCGACTTCTTTCTCTCCAAGTGGTGCTGGAGAAGATGCCACACTTCCTTTCCAATCCTGCCCGCCCCTCAATATCTCAAATCTTCTACCTCAGTCTAATACTAACTATTCTCCACCTCATTACTGCATTGAAACCTTAGAGGAACTACTGCCTCATCCTTCACACATACAGGAGGGCACATTACCTCAGGCCACCTATGTGTGGTACACAGATGGCAGCTCCTTTTTACATGGGGAGACCCGTAGAGCAGGCTATGACATAGTGTCAGATACCAGGGTGGTGGAGGCACAGGAACTCCCCACCCACACTACTAACCAGCAGGCTGAATTAATAGCCCTCGCCCGTGACTTCCAATTAACATAGGGACCGTCCCTAAATGTTTACACAGACTCCAAGTATGCTTTTCATATCCTCCAGGCCCATGCTATCTGGAATGAGCGTGGGCTACATACTACTAAAGGAGGTTCCATAGCTAACTCAGGTTATATTATGGCCGTGCTAAAGACCTCCCCTCTCCCCAAAGCTATAGGGATTATTCACTGGCGGTCTCATCAGACCGACAGCTCCATTATCTCTATAGGCAAAACCTGGGCTGATGAAGCAGCTAGGTCTGCAGCCCTCTAAGACCCAGATCTACCTCACCCACCACAGGGAGTTCATACACTACAACCCACGTCCTCACAGTCACCTCCTGACACTCGGCAAATTCTGCCTTATTTACACCAGCTCCTGCGCCCTAACAGTAAGGCTCTCTCTCAGTTTGTCAAGGCTCATCTCCAGCCCACTTCTGAGGACTTACATTTCTTAAAAACTATCATCGCCTCTTGTAAAACCTGCCAGACATCAGACCCTAACTCCAGTTATAGTAGTCCCCCTTTTCCCACGCATCAAGCCAGGGGCTTTCTCCCAGGGACTGAATGGCAACTTGACTTTACCCACATACCTGTAGTCAGGCAAGTTAAATATCTCCTGGTATTAGTTGATATCTTCTCAGGGTGGGTAGAAGTGTTTCCAACCACTAACAAAAAGGCCCAGACAGTCTCTGACATCCTTCTCAGGGAAATTATTCCCCCAGTTTGGGATTCCAGCCTCTCTTCAGTCAGGTAATGGTCCTGAGTTCACCTCTCCCAAACCCTATCTAAAGCTCTCAACATTTCTTGGCATTTGTTTTCATATTCCTTATCGTCCTCAGGGAAGATAGAGGGAACTAACCATTCTTTAAAAAATGTTCTTGTTAAATGTCACAGGAACTTCACCTTGACTGGGTAAACTCTTGCCTCTGGCTATTTTCAGGCGTAGGGTTCGCCCCAAACAACCCCTTTTCACCTCACCCTTTGAACTCATGTACGGGCGGCCAGCTCTAACACTTGGCCTCTCATCTGAACTCTCACCTCACCCAGATCATCTGCTTACACCCTTACTTCACCTTCTCCGTTCCCTCCTATGGGGCTTTGCTGACCACTCCCTACCTCAATTGTGTGCCAACCCCTGTACATCCCCAACTAACATCAGGGATCAGGTCCTTCTCTCTTCTCCAGACCAACGCCCCTCAACCCTGTCTCCTAAATGGCCCCAGGGCTAATCTCCCCAAGCCCGAGTTTTGGGAGGCTTGGTAAAAGCTTCTGACACCAAATGAAGATGGCAATAACACTATCTGAAAAAGAGGTCTAATGTATTTTATTAAATATACTTACAAGATAAGCAGGGATAGGAGCTCTGGGAACGTGGCTAGCTTCCAAGAGAGAGAGTACTTTTTCTTTTGCTTTCTTTTATTCTCACCTGTGCCCATGCCCTGTCCATGCCCCTTGGGGCGTCGTGGACAATATTGTGGGCTCACCTCTACAGAACCCCATATGCTTTCCTTCCTGTCTTCAGGCTGATCTAAACTCTCCTGTTTCTAATTACACCCTGCTCATCAATCTCCTATGCACCCCTCAATAACTCACTTAAACCTATCAGCTGTTGTTACAGGACCACCAGCCGGAAGCCAGGGATCTATAGACACAAAGACCAACAAACATTTGTGCCTCCTGAGTAAAGGTAACCAGAAAAATTCCATAAAGCCTAGATGACAATGAAACAATCAGCTAATAAGCTATTAATCCAATTCTAACAGGGTATTAAACACCAAACAATACCACTATATGATCAAAACTACAAGCTCAAAATAATGGAGCTTTTTATTGTGCTAAAAATATCTGTCAGCTTTAAAAGTGCTAATGTTATCAGCCAAGTTGTCTCTAACATAAATGTGCTGCTAATGTGTTTAATACTTAATATTTATGTTTTCACAAACTCCAAGGATTCTTGGAAGTTCCAGGGAGCTGAATTGGACCCATTCAAACAGGTGGGATTCGCTCCAAATAAATATTATTCAACCTCTCCACTCTCCACTGGTCCCTGGATTCCCTTCCCTCATCTTGGGACTCCCTGGGGAACCCCTCCCTCATCTTAAAATCCTCCCCTCAAGTACCAGGACCTAAGAATTTTTTTTTTTTACCTAACCTCTACTCTGCTAAGATTCTTCCAGGTCTACAGAGATGCCAGAGTTCCAAACAGCCAGGACTGCGATGGAGTAACCACCTATTCCAGGACGTGGCAGCACTCCAGCTTTCTCAGGTCCCCCAAAAGATGGTCAATGTCCCCCAGATCAGTAGGAAGCAGTCTTGAGAACTCAACACCCTTATTCCCTAACTTGCCACACCCAACTCCCCACCCTTTTTTTAATAATAAGAGGTGAGATTGTTGGAACATCATGCTGACCCGCCCCCGATGATGGGCGGGGTTAAGCACAGTGATGTGGCCACCTCATCGCTATGTCACTTGTTATGGGGCTCAGTGTGCTTGTGCGAGCTTCCCCTTTTAAATTCCTGTCCTTCATCTTCCCCCAACTGGTCAACCCCTAACCCCCCTTTCCACCTTCTACCAATAAACTCCACGTGGGTTTGCTGATTCAAGGTTCGTGTTTCACTACCAGTCTCTGAAGGAAAAGAACAACAGGTAACACTCCATGGTACCTGGAATAGTTAATGAAAGGCAGGTGAACTTTTGTGTTCTGGGGAAGTTCTGAAGATCTGGTGAATGTTGCCTCAATACCTCAAAGACATCTTCAAATGCTTGATCTAGCTTGTCCACTTCAGTGCAAATCATCCTTCATTAGTTATCTGAAGCAAATGATTGAGGATGAGGCTCAGGTATAACACTTCCTAGCATGCACAAAAGCTCTGGGTTTAAGAGCAAGTCCAGTCCATCCGAGATCACAGCAGTATCTTCTTGCACAAGGCAGACAACATCCCCTCTCCCAACATTTGTGGCATTCTCCTTCAGTATTAAATATTTGTAATGAAGTTTGGTGTTTTCCTTTCCTTCTCTTCTTTTCCTCTTCTTGTTCCCTTTCTTTTTCCTTCCCTTCCTTCCCCTCCCCTGCCTCCCCTCTTCTTCCCTTCCCCAGAACCTGGGGCTCTGTACATGGTTGGCAAGTGTTCTGCCACCAAGTTTCATCCTCAGCCCAAGATAAAATAATTTTGTATACAAATAGAAGAATTTATAAAGCTTTCTTAGAAATATTAAGGGATCTCATAGAAACTGTGTTTGCATGTTTGCATTTTAGTTTAAAATCTTGAACTAACAACTTCTCACTCCCTTCAGCACTTTAGGCTGGAAGCAAGCTGGGAAATAAACAGTCTTGGCACTAGGCTCAGAGAGCCCAGAGAGTTGTCAAGTATGAAGCTCATACAACTAATTTACCCCACACATCTTCAAGTGTCTTCAAGTCCAAATGTGTTTCCTCAAAATAGAATCATATTTCCTCAAAATAGAATCATTTGCATGTAATCACAGTAAGAAAGGATCTGTTTTTAATTAGTACTCTAATTAAAGCTAACACTTGAAATAAAATATTGACTAAAACAACGAAACACAGCTCACAATATTAATGCAAACAGTAATAAGGAAGATTTTATTGTTTTTAAATCATCAATCTAATTCAGGGAGACACTTTAAGAAACACTGCTTCAGAAACAGCCATAGGGCTGGGTATAGGGACACACTCTGCAGAGGTAGGAGGATCTCTGTGAGTTTGACATCAGCCTGGTCTATACTTCAAGCTCCATGCTAGCCAGGGCTACTAGGGAGACCTTGTTTCAAAACACAAAACCAAAACCAAAACCCCACACAAACAGAAAGTGACCACAATGAAGCCTAATGCTGCAGTTGAGTTTCAGATAACCCTCAGGCAACACTCTGTTCAAAGGGACACCAGCCCACTGGAGAACGTGGCTCTGGCAGCTGGCCTTGTCCTTCTTGCCAATTCCTTTTGCCTTTTTAAAACCCTTCAATTGCATTCCTAAAGCTAGCCACCAAGGTCTATTCCCTTATTTGGTCACTTCCTCCTCTCTAGGCTGACTACCAAGCTTCTGCTATTGAAGTCCTGAAGGTCAGAAATCAAAAGAAACCTTTGGCTCACCTAATTAACATGCCCAATTAAAATTAAACTCCTCGTCCTAACATGGGGTTTCTCATTTTACATTTATAAACTGCCATTTGCCTATGGGCCATGTGTGTCTCCTCTCTATCCAGAGAGAGTCTCCGGGACAAATACCCTAGTCCCTATCCTCTTCCCCCTTTTCTTCTAACTCCTTTACCACTGCATCCTAGCCCATTCTAATACAGACCTCCCCTTTCTCTCTTCTTAAAAATGTCACCTGCAAGGTCACTTGCTAATGTTTTTCTGCCAGTCAGTCACTTTAACTTTTCTTCCCTGCTTAACTAAGGATCTCTCTGTGTTTGAGTGTGGTTTGTGTCTAACCCAGGGTCTGGAAGGGAGCCCCCCACTGTGAGGGTACATGAACAAGTTGGTGAGGGAGGTTTTCACTCTTCATCTAAGTTTAGCTGCTGAAGTGTGGGCGTCCCTGTAAATCACCTACTGCCAGCAGAGAAATTACCTGCAAGAGGCAAAAAGGAAATCCGGTTCAGCACGGCTTAGCCGAGTTGGTTCAAACTTCTAGAGTCTGACACTAGGAAGTTTACTTTAGACATATTTAAGTACAGTATAATTTTGGAAAAAAGTTTCCTGGTAGCAATTATGTAAATATCATATGCACAATAAAGTCTGAGATATGACCACATAGAAAATCCTTTGCAAAGTACATGTGACCTCTACCATGAAAATGGATTCTATAGTTTAAGGGCCTAGGATCTAGTGTGGTCTCTGAGGAAGACAGCACAGAGGTCATCAGAGTAAAAAGTATTTGTGACATCTCCCCTAGAAGGATGGGCTGCATTGACTGAGAAGCAATGCTCAAGACAAAGGTCAAAGGAGGGAGAGTCTGTGATAAACAATAGTCTGAGGGGTTCAGGTGTGGCTGGCCCTACAAATAGCACAGACTCCCAGGCTATTAACTATGTCTCCTCCTAGCTCTTTGGATGGAAAATGGGTATACACATCCCTTCCACAGAAGAGAAAAGCTTGCACGTTTATCATTCCTGGTTTTCCTAGTGCTTATCTGTGAACTCATGTCTCTCTACAGTGAAGTTACCTAAGAAAAATCAGTAATGGCTGTTTATACATGAACTATTAAAAATAACCACAGTTTAGAAAGAACACAATATGCACCTCCACAGCCTCCAGAGCCCCACACCTCACTTCTGCAGTTCAACTGGACCCAGAAGCAAAGCTCACGCCTGTGTCAGGAAACTTGGCTGGTGCCTCCAGCAGATCTCCAGTAAAGTCCACTACCTAACTCCCATGGAGATTCTCTTTGCATCTCTCAACCTTCTGCTAGCCTTTTATTGGGCATCCTAGAATCCCTTGAGTCCTGCTGTGGCCTCTTTAACCTTCTTGTATCCACTTTGCAACCAACATATACAAAGATATACTTACTGTGTGAGGTGTGAGCAGAGAGTCAGTGATTAACAATAGGATAAAAGAGCCTGTTTGCTAATTGACAGCTACTGAGGGAAATCAGAACAATGTGGCAAAATGCAGTCAATGAACCAACATAGCTTATGAATTCATTGTTAATCAATTCTTACAAGGTGGAAAGATGATACATGTCTATGTTTGTGACACAACATACCCATGACAGTCCTTAAATGTGTGTGGAGGGTTATATAGCTGTATCCTCCTGATTTGACACTACTATTGTCATCTTGAAGTGTAGTGACCAGTCCCCCATTTTAGCAGCCATTACAGGCTAACATGTGCTTGTATGACCTTGCTGCTCCTGTCCTGGTCACTAGGAGGTCAGATGCCCTCCTCATGGCAAGGAACCAATCAGAAGTTAACTGGTGGGGCTGTGCTTTATGGCTCTGGGTGTGCTTTACGGACAGTGCACAACAGTGACATGCAGAACGTAGCAACCACCCTGGGAGGACCTATGGGCCATAACAACCAGTTGACCAATCAACACAGGGTGAGTTACCCAAACCTGGAAGCGCACCAATCCTGAGACTGTTTCATACCCCTAGACACTCCCCTTATGTTGCTCTTTAAGATCCCTGCCTCGAGGTTGTGCCATCCGCCATGGTGGCGGGGTGAAGGGCCTGAGCTAATGGGGTTATCTCGTTAAACATCTACAATAAAAGACTTTTGCTTTTGCATGGAAATGGGCCTCTTGGTGATTTTGTGGTTTAGAATTTGGGCACAATAGAAGCAGAGGAGTTGCACACACCCCTCATGAGGCCAGGACTGTTAGTTAACTCACAGAAGGAAGGGTGTTGCTCACCAGGAAGATGAGTCCCTTAAAAGATAGAGCCTATTAATAGTTCCTTGTGGAGGGAGTGGGTAGCTCATAAGATGTAGACCTTATAGGGTTCTAGAGGCTTGAGAGCCAGGATCCTTTTCTTTATTTACTGGGTAGATTCTTCTTTGGAAATGTACTGCCTGTAAATTTTCTAGAGGACTTTCTGAACTTTGTATATTCCAAGCCCCTATAAAGTAACTTGAATCAATGCATTGATTTTCCAAGCTAGACTTGGATATACTGTTGGTAAGCTTCTTTCTGGGAGTAAATAGGTATTTCCTTATGTTTCTTCAGGAATATAGTCCATAGATCAAGTAATACTCTATTCCCTGGGCCCCACTTAGCTATAGTTCTTAGAATCGCAATAGGTACACATTGTGCATTTTATGTATGCTCATGAAATGAGAAACTAAAATTATATCCTAGGAAGCCTGCAAGGGAAGTAATTAAATGCTAGCAACTCCTGCCACCAAATGTAAATATTCTCTCGTTTAACCAAGGTGGAGCTTTGGGTGCTTCTCAGAGAGCAGTACTTCTAATCCCTCCCCCATGACTCTCTTGCCCACTTATCCAGAAATAACATTATGCCATTCTGGAGTAGTGATTACCTTATCCTAGTATCCATAGTTAATAATGAAAGGAATACTACAAGTAGTTAGATCTATAATGATGATGATAACAATGGGTGCTTTGGCTAGTCCCCTTGTTGTTGGAGGAGGAAAGGGTCATAAGGAGAAAATAAATAAAAATGTAGTATTAAAAAAAAAAGAATCCAGGAGGAACTTTATTTTAGTACCAGGGTAGCTGATTACAGTACCCAACCTCCAAAACTGTAACATAATACAACACTGTTATTTTCAATCATTGAGTTTTTGGTAATTTGTTATAGAGAAAATGAGAATTTCCAATTCTACAAATGAAATTAGATATATTGCTGTTTAGAGTTTTGTCAACTTGACGCAAATCTAAACATAATTTGGAAGAGAGACTCTCAATTGAGAAATAGCCTCCATCAGACTGGCCTGTGGCCACATCTGTGAGGTACTTTTTGGTTGCTAATTGATATAGGAGGGCTCAACTCACTGTAGGCATTGGCACTCCTGAACTCGAAGCTTCAGATGTATAAGAAAATTCTGAGGAAGCAAGTCAATCAGAAAC